TACTATTTCACCAATGGGAATTGTTAGGGATGTTGAAGTCTTGTGTGGGAAAACTAAATATCCTGCTAATTTTCTTGTTCTTGGTTCCCCACAAGATATCTTGTGTCCCATTATAATTGGTAGACCCTTCTTAAACACTGTTAGTGCTACCATAGATTGCAAAAGGGATGTTGTTACTACCAGTTTAGATGATATGAATCATGAATTTAATTTCTCTAAATTTAGTAGACAACACCGTGAAGAAGAATAACCTAGTAAGGATGAAATTATTGGTCTTGCTTCTATTGCCATACCTCCTAGTGATCCTTTAAAACAATATTTGCTAGACCATGAAAATGATATGTTTATGAATGAAAGAAGGGAAATAGATGAAGTATTCTTTAAACATGAACCTATTCTGAAACCCAATTTTCCTATTGAAATCCTAGGTGATCCTCCTCCACCCAAGGGTGACCCGTGTTTGAGCTTAAACCGTTACCTGATACTCTTAAATATGCTTATCTTGATGAGAAAAAAGATATACCCTGTTATTATTAGTGCTAACCTTTTAGAGCATGAGGAAGAGAGATTATTGAAAACTCTGAAAAAGCATTGTGCTGCTATTGGGTATACTCTTGATGATCTTAAGGGCATTAGTCCCACTCTATGTCAACATAAAATAAATTTGTAAGAAGATGCTAAACCAGTTCGTGATCATCAGCGACGGCTGAATCCTAAAATGAAAGAAATGGTAAGAAAGGAAATACTAAAGCTCCTTGAGGCAGGTATAATCTATCCCGTTGCTGATAGTCAGTGGGTAAGTCATGTCCATTGTGTCCCTAAGAAGGGAGGTATTACGGTCGTTCCTAATGATAAAGATGAATTGATTCCTCAAAGAATTATTACAGGTTATAGCATGGTAATTGATTTCGCAAATTAAATAAGGCCACTAAAAAGGATCATTACCCCTTACCTTTTATCGATCAAATGCTAGAAAGATTATCCAAACATACACATTTTTTCTTTCTAGATGGTTACTTTGGTTTCTCTCAAATACCTGTGTCAGCCAAGGATCAATCAAAGACTACTTTTGCTTGCCCTGTTGGTACCTTTTCTTATAGACTTATGCCTTTTGGTTTATGTAATGCACCTACTACCTTTCAAAGATGCATGATGGCTATATTCTCTGACTTTTGTGAAAAGATTTGTGAGGTTTTCATGGACGATTTCTCCGTGTATGGATCTTCTTTTGATGATTTCTTGAGCAACCTTGATCGAGTTTTGCAGAGATGTGAAGAAACTAATCTTGTCTTGAATTGGGAAAAGTGTCACTTTATGGTTAATGAAGGTATTGTCTTGGGGCATAAAGTTTCCGAAAGAGGTATTGAGGTTGATAAAGCCAAGGTTGATGCTATTGAGAAGATGCCATGTCCGAAGGACATCAAAGGTATAAGAAGTTCCCTTGGTCACACCGGATTTTATAGGAGGTTCATTAAGGACTTCTCAAAACTTTCTCGGCCTGTGACTAATTTATTACCAAAAGATATACCATTTGTCTTTGATGATTATTGTGTAGAGGCATTTGAAATACTTAAGAAAGCATTGATCTCTGCACCTATTGTTCAGCCACCTGATTGGAATTTACCCTTTGAAATTATGTGTGATGCTAGTGATTATGCTGTAGGTGCTGTTCTAGGGCAAAGAGTTGATAAGAAATTAAATGTTATTCAATATGCTAGTAAAATGTGGAGTCTTGGAGTATTTCGATCGACCGGTCATATAGGCCTGAGTCAGACATCAAATAGCTTCGATTTGCATTATCCGTAGGACACCTTATATGTATCAAAATCGATATCAAAATCAAAAAGATGAAATATGTACAATCCAATTTATCGATTCAATAGAATCCCAAAGAGGTGCATATGGTACCCAAATAAGATCATGATAGATATGTCAAAAGCAGGTCTGATTACACCTATTCCTAATCCTAAGTAGAATGGAAGGACGTAGGGATTTCTATGTAAACAGAGTATCCTATTTCCATAGGCTCGAATGGCCACATCTCATAATAAGAATGTGCACGGTCTGGTTCGTTATGGAATGAACTTATAATCTGATGATCGAGTCGATTCCATGATTAGAAGTTCATAACCCTAGCGCCCATTCCCATTTTGGGCGGAACAGATCTACTAATTCTTTTATTCCAGTTAGTAAGAGGGATCTTGAACTAAGAAATAGACCTAGTAGCTAAAATAGGGTATCCTGAGCAATTGCAAGAATGGGGTTTATTGATATTCCTGGTATAGTAGATGCTATCACACATACAAACATACTCAATTCAATGGAATTCTTTGATCTTAAAGGGGATCTTCTATAATTTCGCACATAAGGGGTTATTTCTTGGTTTCGTCTAGTCATTAATAACTTGATTAGTTTTAGATAATAGTAGATAGAAAGAACGCTCGTAAGGAGTCCTATTGAAACCAAGAAATATAGGCATGCTTGCCATCCACACCAGAAT